AAATATCCCGAAATGATCCCAGAATATTCCCATGGAATCCCCCCCGGAGCCTCAGCCCGGTGCTGTCCCAGCCCATCTTCGACAAGAGTGAGTCCCAAAAAACCCCAAATCCACCCCAAAAATATCCTGGAAATATCCTGAAATTGTCCTGAAATTATCCTGGAAATATCCTGAAAATATCTTTAAAATGTTCTGAAAATATCCCGAAATTATCCTGAAAATATCCCAAAAATATCCCCAAAATATCCCGAAAATATCCTGAAATTATCCCAAAAATATCCCAAAAATATCCCAAAATTATCTTTTAAATACCCCCAAAAATATCCTGGAAATGTCCCCAAAATATCCCGAAATGATCCCAGAATATTCCCATGGAATCCCCCCCGGAGCCTCAGCCCGGTGCTGTCCCAGCCCATCTTCGACAAGAGTGAGTCCCAAAAAACCCCAAATCCACCCCAAAAATATCCTGGAAATATCCTGGAAATATCCTGGGAATGTCCCAAAAAAATCCTGAAAAAATCCTGAAAATATCCTGAAATTATCCCGAAAATACCCTGAAAATATCCTGAAATTATCCTGAAATATCCAAAAAAAATCCTGAAAAAATCCTGAAATTATCCTGAAAATATCTTTGAAATGTTCTGAAAATATCCCAAAAATATCCCGAAAATATCCCGAAAATATCCCCAAAATATCCCAAAAATATCCCAAAAATATCCCCAAAATATCCCGAAAATATCCCGAAATTATCCCAAAAATATCCCCAAAATATCCCAAAAATCTCCTGAAAATGTTCCCGAAAATATCCCAAAAAATCCCCAAAATCTCCCCGGAATCTCCCGTGAGCCCCCCCAGAAATTCCCGAGGTTTTCCCGGTTCCGGGGGCGGTTCCGGGTTCGGGATTTTGGGAATTCGGGAATTTGGGATTTTGGGATTTGGGGAATTTGGGATTTGGGGATTTGGGGATTTTGGGAATTCGGGAATTTGGGAATTTGGGAATTTGGGATTTGGGGATTTGGGGATTTGGGAATTCAGGAATTTGGGAATTTGGGAATTCGGGAATTCGGGATTTTGGGGTTTTGGGATTTTGGGAATTCAGGAATTCGGGAATTCGGGACTTTGGGGTTTTGGGATTTTGGGAATTCAGGAATTTTGGGAATTCGGGGCTCTTTCCCAGAATCCACCAACACCTCGGAGCTGCGGATTTGCCGCATGAACAAAGAGAGCGGCCCCTGCACGGGGGGGGAGGAGCTTTACCTGCTCTGTGACAAAGTGCAGAAAGGTACCGGGGACACCTGGGGACACCAAAACCTCACCTGGGGACACCTGGGGACACCTGGGGACACCAAAACCTCACCAAAACACACCTGGGGACACCAAAACCTCACCTGGGGACACCAAAACCTCACCTGGGGGCACCCAGAACACACCTGGGGACACCTGGAACCCAGTCTGGAACCCAATCTAGAACCAATCTAGAACCCGATCTAGAACCGAGTCTAGAACCCGATCTAGAACCGATCTAGAACCTGATCTAGAACCTCTAGAACCCGATCTAGAACCGAGTCTAGAACCTCTAGAACCCAGTCTAGAACCTCTAGAACCGAGTCTAGAACCGAGTCTAGAACCGAGTCTAGAACGGTCTGGTACCCAGCCTGGAACACGCCTGGACACACCTGGGGGCACCTGGACACACCTGGACCCCCCCAATTCCCGATTCCCAATCCCCAATTCCCGATTCCCAAATCCCCAATTCCCGATCCCAAATCCCCAATTCCCGAATTCCCAATCCCCAATTCCCAATTCCTGATCCCAAATCCCCAATTCCCATTCCCAATCCCGAATTCCCGTCGTTCCCAGAGGACATCGCGGTGATTTTCCGGCGGGAGTCCTGGGAGGCGCGGGCGGATTTCTCGCAGGCCGACGTTCACCGCCAGGTCGCCATCGTGCTCCGGACCCCGCCCTACGCTCACCTGGAGCTGAACCAGCCCGTGCAGGTGGAGGTGTTCCTGCAGCGCCTGACCGACAGCGTCCGCAGCGAGGGGTTCCGGTTCACGTATCTGCCCCGGGATAACGGTGATTACCGGGAATGGAACCGGGAATGGAACCGGGAATGGAACCGGGAACGGCCCCGGGATGGGCGGGATGCGGGTCCCGGGTCAGGGCAGGTGTTCCTGCAGCGCCTGACCGACAGCGTCCGCAGCGAGGGGTTCCGGTTCACGTATCTGCCCCGGGATAACGGTGATTACCGGGAATTACCGGGAGTTACCGGGAATGGAACCGGGAATGGAACCGGGAACAGAACCGGGATGGGCGGGATGCGGGTCCCGGGTCAGGGCAGGTGTTCCTGCAGCGCCTGACCGACAGCGTCCGCAGCGAGGGGTTCCGCTTCACGTATCTGCCCCGGGATAACGGTGATTACTGGGAGTTACCGGGAGTTACCGGGAATGGAACCGGGAACGGAACCGGGAACGGAACCGGGAACGGAACCGGGAATTACCGGGAATGGAACCGGGAACGGAACCGGGAATTCCCAGGAACGGGAGCAGGAAATGGCAGCGGGAATTCCCGGGAATTCCTGTGGGAATGGAACCGGGAATGGCCCCGGGAATTCCCGGGAATGGCAGCGGGAATACCGGAAATACCGGGATAAGTACCGGAAATACCAAAATAACAGGAACGGCACCGGGAATGTCCGGGAATAACCGGGAATAACCAGGAATACCGGGAATAGCGGGAATGGCACCGCGAATACCGGGAATACCCACCGGGAATACCCGGGATTGGGGCGGATCCATGGGATGGGAGCAAAGCCCCGGGAACGGCGGGAATTCCCGGGAATTCCAGGAACGTGGGGACTCCCGGGAGTTCCCGGGAATGCGGCGGGATCCATTCCCGGTGTTTTTCCAGACGCTTACCGGGTGCAGCTGAAGCGCAAACGGGGAATGCCCGAGGTGCTGGAGGAGCTGTCGGGAACCGGTGCGGACTGGGAGGGACTGGGGGGGACTGGGGGGGACTGGGAATGGACTGGGAGCGACTGGGAGGGCACTGGGGGGACTGGGAATGGACTGGGAAGGGATTTGGGATGAATTTCATGGAATTCAAGATGAATTTGGGATGAATTTGGGGGATTTTGGTATGAATTTCGTGGAATTCGGGATGAGTTTTGGGATGAATTTGGGGGGACTTTGGGATGATTCGGGGGGATTTTGGGATGAATTTTGGGGGGATTTTGGGGGCTCCCCGTGACCCCCCCGGACCCCCCAGACCCGTTCGGGATCGAGGCCAAGAGGAGGAAGAAGCCCCCGGGGTACCTGGAGCATTTCCTGCCCCTGGGACCCCCAGGTGCGACCCCAAATCCCAAATTCCCCCTGGAAAAAATCCCAATTTCCCCCAAAAATCCCAATTTTCCCCAAAAATCCCAATTTCCCTCCAAAAAATCCAATTTCCCCCCCAAAAATCCAATTTTCCCCCCAAAAATCCCGATTTTCCCAAAAAATCCCACTTTTCCCCCCTCTAAATCCCAATTTTCCCTCCAAAAAATCCCTTTCCCCCCCCCAAAGCCCAAATTTTCCCCTCCAAACCCAAATTTTCCCCCAAAAAAATCCCAATTTCCCTCTCCAAACCCATTTTTCCCCCCCAAAAATTCCCGTTTTTCCCTAAAATTCACTTTAGCCCCCTAAAAATTCCCATTTTCCCCCCCAAATTCCCATTTTCCCCCCTA